AAGGGCATCCAGTAAGACTGAGGCACTTGAGGACACATCCCACTTCTCTTCTTATCCCTTAGCATTCTTGGGCCACAGATCCTCAGGGATTGAATAAACCCATCCTCAGATTGGCTTCAGGGCTACAAGGCCAGTCCTGAGGTTCATTCCTGCCTCTGTGCTCTATGTGTGTCGTTGGCCAAACTGTTTAACCTCTCTGAGTCTGACCCCCACCCCTCCACCAAAGTAAATGCATCAACTACTTGTGATGAATAAATAAAATTAATAGGGTAAAATAAATGTTAGTTTTATAGTCATCTATTTTGTCCTCTTTATTGTGTTCTTCCTGGTTGTCCTTAGAGCTCTAAGCTGTTATTCAGATATCTTGTTTCTTCATAAAGCTGTTGCTGTAGCAGCTGCTACAAAGGCTTAGGCTTAAAATAGTGGTTTCTCTGTAACATTTGTTCCTATTATGAATAATAGTGCAGTCTCTATGTAGTTATATAGTGCACCTCCATTGAATAGTTGAAATAGTGACATAAAAGGATGCTATTTATATTCTAGGTTATTCAATGTGTCTTCTTTTGTTCTTTTCAGTGCCAGTGAAAGAGAAGAAACTCATGGATGTCAAACTAGGGGAGTTGCCAAGCTGGATATTGATGCGGGATTTCACCCCTAAAGGCATTGTGGGAGCATTTCAGAGAGGTCAGAATCTTAAGGATACATAAACAAGCAAACCTGAGTTATCAGGTCTCTTTTTGTAATGAATTAACTTGGACAATAAAAACTTGGTCTCAAGACTAGTCTGAGCTGGGCGCAGTGGCACACACCTGTAATCCTAGTGGCTTGGGAGGTTGAGGCAGGAGGATTACAGGTTCAAAGCCAGCCTCAGCAATTTAGCAAGTCCCTAAACAATTTAGTGAGACCCTGTCTCAAAATAAAATACAAAAAGGGTTGGGTATGTGGTTCAGTGGTTAAGTGCCCCGGGTTCCATCCCTGTACAAAAAAAAAAAAAAAAAAAAAGACTTTAGTTTTTAGAAAAGGACAGTGAGAGGTGGTCAGCCTTTGAATTTCTATATTTGATTGGCCCTATCAAAGGCTGGCCCTGAGATATTTTCAGCCAAGAAATGTTTGGTTGCTTGGAATTAGCACCTCTGCTTCTAAGAGAAATGTCTGTTAGCATTTTTATGCCCAATTGTTCTAGAAGAAAATGAGTTTGAATCATGGTAGACATCATTCTTTTTTTTTTTTTTTTTTTTTTTTTGGTACTGGGGATTGAACTTAGGGACACTCAATCACTGAGCCCAGCCCTATTTTGTATTTTATTCAGGGACAGCGTCTCACTGAGTTGCTTAGTGCCTTGCTTTTGCTGAGGCTGATTTTGAACTTGCCATCCTCCTGCCTGAGCCTCCCTAGGTGCTGGGATTATAGGTATGTGCCACCATGCCCGGCTCAATCTTTTTTGGTACTAGGGATTGAGCCCAGGGGTACTTAACCACTGAACCACATCCCCGCCTTCCCCTTTTTTAAAATTTTGAGACAGAGTCTTGCTAAGTGCTTAGGGCCTCACTAAGTTGCTGAGACTGGCCTCAAATTTGTGATCCTCCTGCCTCAGCCTCTTGAGCTGCTGGGATTATAGGTGTGTGCCACCACACCCAGCTGGACATCAGTCTTATGTTTATCTTCTTGCTTGAACTTCCAAGACAAATATTTGAAATTGCCCATATTTCAGGTCTGTGCATTTATAAAGTACAGTATTAAAATCTGGGCTAGTGGCCTTTAATTCTAGCAACTCAGAAGGCTGAGGCAGGAGGATTGCAAGTTTGAGGCCTGACTGGGCAACTTAGTGAGAAACCCCATCTCAAAAGGAAATATAAAAAGGCTGGGTATGTAGCTTAGTGATAGAGCACCCCTGGACTATTCAGGTCAGTCCTGTGTAATTTATCATATCATTTCAATGAAGAAAGACCCAGATCATCCTATTGGGGTCCCCCCCCTCTGTTTTTTGGATTCTGACTGCCTTAGTCTTCCCTAAGGTTTTTCCTCAAGCTCTACCATGATATCAGAGTACTCTGCCTGTTCCCCCACTTTTGCCCAGGGAGTGAATGAATGTGGCCTATTCATGCTCAGAGCTCCCTGCCTAATTCCTTTGGGGCATTCTTTTTTTTTTGTACTAGGGAATGAACCCCAGGGTTCATTTATTATTGAGCTACATCCCCAGTCTTTTTTTTTTTTTTTTAAATCTTTAAAATTTTTAATTTTGAGCCAGTATCTTGCTAAGTTGCTGAGGCTGGCCTCGAATTTGCAATCCTTTTGCTTCAGCCTCCCAAGTAGTGGGGATTACAGGAATATGCCACCACACCAGCCTCCCTCGCTGTTTTAAACTAGGACCACCATCACATTCTTTTTCATCAACCTAAAGTGTGTTTGTTTCCCTTCTGGTGGGTACATGTCTATTTTGTTAGGCAACCCAGTGAAGAGAGGAATGCAGGGAAGTCCTCCTCCTCAGAGGCCTGGTTGTTGAAGCTGCTACAACCATGGGGCCCCTTATAAAGGAGTTGGAATCTGGGACAGAATTAGTCAACATTAGGGTAAAGGGGATTTTTAAGGGCTAGACAAAGTGAGGTAGGATCCAAGGCAGACAAGCTAGATCCTATCTAGGAGAGTAAGGCCAAAGGGTAGATCCAGGTACAAGGCGGACCCAGTATTAGAGCTGTCCTTGTGCTGTAGGTCCCCCAGGCACCTTTATCAGCTAGGGAATATAGGGTGAGTGAATTAAAGAGCCAGAGTAGGACTGGGTCCCTGAATTCCAGTCATCCTCAAATTGTGCATTACAGAAAGCATTTTCAGCAGAGCAGGGCAGTGAATGCCTCTTCTGTTGCAGGTTACCACCGGTACTACAACAAATACATCAACGTGAAGAAGGGGAGCATCGCAGGGGTCAACATGGTGCTGGCAGCATACGTGCTTTTCAGCTACTGCCTTTCTTACAAAGAACTCAGTGAGTGCTTCTTGCATTATCTTGCCTCCAGCTTTCCGTGAGATTGTGGTGATGGCTTGCTTTGTTAGATATGGTAGTTCACTTTCTGCCAGCGGAGGGACCTTTAGTATGTTTCTTGCCTACACTTCCATTTAAAGAATAGGGGGAAATATTTTTTGGATACTGGGATTGAACTCAGGGGCCCTTAACCACTGAGCCATATTTCCAGCCCTATTTTTTTTTTTTTTTTTGTAGTTGTAGATGGACAATAGAATGCTTTATTTTATTTGTTTATATTTATGTGGTGCTGAGGATTGAACGCAGTGCTTCTCGCATGCTAGGCAAGTGCTCTGCCCCTGAGTTACAGCCCCAGACCCCCAGACCTATTTTTGTATTTTATTTAGAGACAGGGTCTCACTGAGTTGCTTAGCACCTCACCAGGTATTGAGGCTGGCTTTGAACTTGTGATCCTCCTGCCTCAGTCTCTCAAGCTGCTAGGATTACAGGCATGTGCCACTACGCCTGGCTTAGGGTACTGTTTTTAAGTGAGAAGTTTGTGACAAGAACACAGGTGAAACAAGATGAAGCTAGGGTAAAGGTAATAGTTGTTAAGCATTCTCTAAGATCCTTCAGGCTCTTGCTAAAATTTGGCTTGGTCTTCCTGGTAGCCTGTGCACAGAGGGTTGAGTGGTAGAATCCATTGTCTGTGTAGTGTTCTGGAAAAACTTTCCTGGCTCTAAGACCTGAGATGGTCTCAGATGATATGCAGCATGGCCTGAGATACCTGTTTAGATTCTGGGAAATATCAGTGGTTTTCCAGTCTGTTCCTGGTAGCATCTAGCCCCTGCCAACCTGTTGTATTGAGCCAGTGCTTCCTCTAAAGGTTGTTTGACTAAGTGGGTGTTCCTGGAAGAGGCTGACTCCTGGAAGAGGCTGGCTCCTGAGATGTCTCTGTGGCCCCAGGTCTGTGCAGACAGGTTCTGGGTCATTTGAAAGGAACTCATAGGAAGGCTGCATGGTTAAAGCTTCTGTCCTCTTGAAGGCTTGTGTTTTCACCAGAATACCTTCTAAAAAACTTGCCCTTTCCCCTCATTTCAGAGCATGAGCGGCGACGAAAGTACCATTGAAGAGGGGCCAGTGTGGAGACCATATTATGTACTCCTGAGACTGCCTCCCCTGTGAAGAACTGAAATCATGGCAGAATCCTTTCGTATCCTGAGTGTTAATATCCAATAAAAGGTGACTGGTATGTGTGCTGTTTGCCTGATGTGCCTATCACCCTCACTCCGAGGTGTGAGATCGTCAGACACCCAGGGCTTTAATCCTTGGAGCCCCCATCGCTTGGGCTGGCTGCCATGAGTGTTGTGGGCATTTGGAGATACTGTGGCCTTTGTCAGCCAACAGACAGAAAGCAGAGGGCCCTGTGTCCCTGAAAATGCCAGATCTCATCCCTGGCCATCTAAGCTCTAGGCGGGGGGTTTTCAGATGACTGCGAAGTCTTCTCTTTGCTTATTTTTCTGCACAAACTAGGATATCAGGGGCTCCCGGGCCAGGTCACCAAGCACTATTTGGAGAGCCCTTAGGAAACATAGGCTTCCTGGTAAGATGGCTTTGGTAGCAGGGAGCTCAGTTGGATAGGGGTGAGGGAAACGCACAGACCTGATGTGGGCTGCCCCCTATTCATCAGAGGGCTTCAGATGACATTAGGTGCATGTAGACCGACACCACTTCCTTACTGAGGGGCCAACAGTAAGCATATACACTGTGCTGGGTGCAGGCTATGGGGGACAGGCTGGGGAGGGCAATGTCATGTCCAGGATCCCCTAGATGGGCTGAATCTGGATGAATAGGCATCACCCAACAGCTGACAGGGGTGAGACCTGCCAGCTTTGGGTACAAGGGCCCGTCTAGGCAGCACCACTGCTCTTTGAGATTCTCTTTCAAAGAGATGAGAAAGCACCAATCACCGCTTTATGCCAGGCAGCTAGTGCAGCCTGTGGGTCTCCCCAGCACACAGTCCCCATAAGTAATGAGACACCGCTTAAAAAACAAGCTTTAATCAACTTCATAAAAATTGTTCTTGTAATTGAACTTTGATAGGCCCACTTGCCCAGCAGGTTGCAGGTGATGGTTTCACATTTTCCAGGCTCAAGGGCAGGGCAGTCTCCTCTGCATGCCACAGGTGTCTGAGTGACAGTACAGACTCTTGATCAGCAGGAGGTAGGCGCAAATGGATCAGCTATTTAAAGGGTGGTGTGTGGCTCTAGCTGAAGAATACCTTCAACATCATCAGGGCCCCATGAGAAAATAAGCCCAGAAGACAGAACCTCAAATTAGAGAGCCCTGCAGCCCTCAACTGCTGCCACCTGGGCCCAGGGCTAGGCTGAGGCAGTGAGTGCACTGAGTTTGTCAGGAAGGGCTCCCTTGTTCAAATCACATTGATAGGCACAGCTTCAGGATTCAGCAGGACGCGGTGGAAGCTGGCATGACCTGCCACAGCTCTGAATGATCCACCAATCCCCGGGCTCTCCAAGAACTGGTGTTTAAGGAGCCCCTGAGGGGAAAGGCCACCTTCCACACACAACAGCATAGCACAAGCCCTTCCTCAACTACATCCTCCCCCTGGAGGGTAGGTGTGCAGGGAGTCCCAGAAAAAGAGGCGTGGAAGCCCAGGCAAACATGATGTCGACTTGGGGACACAACGAAGCACATGTCCCTTTTTAAAAAGAGATTACAGCAAAATGATAGGAAACTTAACAGTTGTGGCCCCTCAGAATGACAAGCCCCAGTGAGCATGCTTGCCGGCTTTAGTCAGCTGCACCAACACTACATTCAGCAGGCAGTGCACACACCCAACAGCAGGGCCCCTCAGGCTGCTCTGAGCTGACTCCAGCTGCCATCACTGTCCACTGAGAAAGGCCAAGTGCCCTTTGGTGCATCTGTTGGCGTAGTGTCCTTTTTCACCACACTGGGAACAGCAGAAGGGGAAGGAGAGAGAAAAATACAACACCATTTTCAAATGTAATTTTCAACTAAGGCAGTACCCACCAAATACCAAGCTAGGGAGAACCCTGAAATTCTGTGGCAAGATTTCTTTTCAAACACAAGCAGAGGAATCTCAAGAAAGGTGCAGTGGTACAGAAACTGCAGCCAGCAAGGTCACCAGAGCGACCTGAGAGCCCAGCAAGGTGCCCCTTCAGCCTGTACCTCACCTGCACCAGACCTGGGCCTGCCTGGGAAGGACTCACAAGTGGGTGGCAGGACGAAGAGAAGTCCACGGCATCAGAGCTCTCGGCCCTCTCTGCACACAGGCCAGTCAGTCACTTACCTCTGAGCCAACGTCTGGGGCCTCCCTGAGGAGATGGGGAGGGAACAATGCAAGAGAAGCTACCAGGCTCCTTCCCCAGCTTTGGGAGCCATGGCTGTGGACACAGGGTGGGCTGTACTGATGCTTTCCCTCCTGTTTTTTTTTTTTTTTTTTTAAAGTACTGCAGATTGAACCTGGGGGCGCTTAACTACTGAGCCACATCCCTAGTCCTTTTTTATATTTTATTTAGAGACAGGGTTTTGCTAAGTTGCTGAGGGCCTCCCTAAATTGCTGAAGCTAGCTTTGAACTCTCAATCCTCCTACTTTAGCCTCTAGAGCCTCTGGGATTATAGGTGTGTGCCACTGTGCTCGGCTCCCTCCTGGCTCCTGCACAACTGTCTAAGCTACCCATGAGAACAGGTTTTAATCACAGGGTCAAAGATGGGACAATGATTAGACTTGGGTGAGTGGAGCTGATAGCGTCACCTCTGACACATCTAACACTGACCCTGATTTATATTGGCTGATTATCCAGGACCTCCCATAGTGTCTCTATCCTTGTGAGACTTAAAACAGAAGGGAAATCTAAGTGAATGGCAACCTCAAGCATGAAACAGAGGCTCAAGAGGCATCTGGAGGGTGCAGATGCTAATCCCCATTGCCCTCCCCAACTCTGTTCCCATAATCCCCACTCCCTCCTTCCCTGGTGTGTAACAATATAAAGGGGTTCTACTATCCTTACCCAGTGCCCCTATTTATTCTGTTATCCTACACTGCAGTCTCATGTTTTTAAGATCTGTTTAATCTGTAGGTGTGACTTCATGGATAATTGGCCCTTAGGCTAATATGATCATCAGAAAGCATAACCACAAGGCCCCACTCCCAGGACCCAGCACATTCATTGGTCTTCATAGTTGTTCCCAGGAATCTAGGATTCACATGAAGTATTTTTAATATTAACAGCATGAGCCGAGCGCAGTGGTGCACACCTGTAATCCCAGTGACTTGGGAGGCTAAGACAGGAGAATCTCAAGTTCTAGATCAGCCTCAGCAATTTAGTAAGGCATGCCTTCCACCCATCTTGCCTTTTCCAGATCTTTCCCTTTCCTTGCTCGTCTCACATCTTAAGGCTTAGGCTCAGAACTTTCCCCAGAGAGGCTTTCTCTGAATCCAGATGCACTTTTCCTTGAGTGCTTTTAAAGCACTTGCCTTCTTCAGCCCCAGGAATGCATGTTTCTGCTGGACAGAGCAGCTCAAGGAATGCCTGGCTGCTGTGGCAGAGTCCTGGGGCTCAGTCTTTCCTGAGGACAAGCTGGATGGACATTTTAAGTACATGCCCTTTGACTTAGAACTCCCTCTTGCATACATGGATGCCAGTGACATCAGACAAGAGCTCACAAATGATACAGCACTGTTATTAGGAGCAAAAGAACAAATCGAGTGCAATGACGCACACCCATATTCCCCATACTTGGGAGGCTCGGCAGGAAGATTGCAAGTTCAAGGACTGCCTTAGCTACTTAATGAGACCCTGCTGCAAAAATTTCAAAAACTGAAGTAGTGGAGTAAAAAAACATTCTTTCTGTTGTTTGTTTTTATTATTATTGTTTTTGGTACTAGGGATTGAACCCAGGGGCACCTAACCATTAAACCACGTCTGCAGTCCTTTTTTATCTTGAGACAGGGTCTTGCTAAGTTGCTTTTAGGGCTTCCCTAAATTGCTGAGGCTGGCTTTGAACTTGTGATTCTCCTGCCTCAGCCTCCTGAGCTGCTAGAATCATAGGCATGTGCCACTGTGTCTTTTTTTTTTTTTTTGGTTCAGGGGATTGAGTCCTGGACCTTGCACATGCTAGAAAAGTACTCTACCACTGAGCTACACCCCCAAGCCCCTTTTATTTTTTTCTTTTGAGACAGTTTCACCAAGTTATCAAGGCTGGCCTTGAACTTATGAACCTCCTGCCACAGCCTCCTGAGTTACTTGGATTATAGATGTGCACCACTATATCCAGCTATGTTTTCTGAGTTTTTAAACATGAACTCATTCTTTGGAACTCTGTGGGGATTCTGTATGGCTAGGGTTGAGAATATACCCCTCAGAGCTCCTTCTGGGAGCCCGGGTATACTCCAAGGAAGCCAATTATAGATTAAACTCAGTTTGTGACTTTTAGCTCTCACCAAGGATGTGAACACAGGCCCCAAATCATGTAAGGATCAGCTACCAACTACCTGTTCTCAGGAATTGTTTCTCCTTTCCACCCACAGCCAGGAATGAGAAAGTTTTCTAGTAGATTTGTTTAAATTCACCCTTTCCCCGAGTGTCCCACTTTAGGTTAAGAGGTGTGGAGTGTGTGTTCCCAATCCAGTTCCTCCATCATAGGCAAAAAGCTTTGTCCTATTCCCTTGAGTGTGCCTGGATGCATGATCTAAGGATGCCTGTGGGGCAGACAAAGCTTCAAGGATCACTCTTCGTTGGATTTGTTTCCATTTTGTTCCCTAGCACTTAAAGATCTCTCGTTTCCTTGCAAGCACAGTCCACTCATTTAGCAGCAATATTTTATTACCCTGCACCATATCTTGATGTGTTGGAGGAAGTAGGATGGTCTCCAGACTACTATAGTGGCCCACCATTATTTTTACAATCAGCAAAAACCAAAGTTTTCACTTTTCAAAAGTAACCAACCACACATCTGGGGAAGGAGGGAATGGTCAATGACCAGAGAGAAGACCCCACCCTGTCCCCAAGTCCTGGGACTCACCTTGTAACAAGTGACCTGCTCCAGCGGCCGGGGTCCCCGGTTGCCTGCACTGCTGTTTTGACTCTGCATGACCCCGATGACCTGCGGGGCTCTCTGCTGATTGGGAGAAGAGTTCTGACTCGTTAACTGGATCAAGGAGGACGACCTTTGTAATGGCGGATTGTTACTTTGCTGGAAAGAGTTACACAACACGGTTTTACTGTGGAAAACACGTGCACGCAGACTACCAATGGGAACAGGAAAAAAGGGCGGGACTGCTCCCGCATGACCAGCAGGAAGAGGGCTTCCGCGATGGCCCAGCTCAGGAGTGGGCAGAAAAGAAACTTGTGGTGATGATGGCAGGAGCTGCTGCCCGAAAAACACCATGCAGACACACAAAAACGAAAAATAAAAGTAGAAAACAAAACACCAAAGAGACAAGAGGAGGTCTCTGGGGCAGTGGGGCGAGGGCATGATCAGGCCTTACTTTTGTTTCTGAGGTTCTAGCTTCAGGTCAGGATGAACGCTTGGTTCAGCCAGATGTTTAGCAGCCTACACGGCGAGCAACAGTCACAGAAAAACAGTTGGAGCCTGACATGCTGACCTGTGTTCTAGGGGCTGAGAGGGCCTTCCTCTAGAGAGTAGCAAGAAGGAGGGGGATGGAGGCTCCTGGGACAGGGATTCCTCAGCAAGGCTACCTCTCAATGAGGTGGGTTCTTGGCTCTGGCCCTCTAAATGCAGGACCCAAGCTAGGAACCTCAGGCTGTCAGCTGCATCCCTGCCCAGGAATTCCTGCCTTTCCTAAAGGTGGGGATCTGTGGAGGCCAAGTGCAGTCACATCCCTTCATGGATGCTCAGCTCATGACAATGAAGAAGAATGGGAGGGGCTTTGGCAACTGACTCAGAGCCCAACCAGGCAGGAGGTGAGGCTTCAAGATTGGCAGACCAGTTTACACAGAGGGCCTACTGGAGGCCCAGCCTAACACCTGGGCCAGCCCTTCCTCTGGGCCCAGTCTCCCACTCTGGTAATCAAACCCACACAGCCCTTGATTTTGGGGGGCTGCTGCAGATCCTCATTTGTTGATGGCATTTCCTTCTCTCCCTGTGCTTGAGGGGACCAACAAACTGCACTGTGGGCCTGAATAGACAACTGGAACCAGCTAGTCCTTCAGCCCTATTCTTGGTTGGAACCTCCAAGGAGCAGCGATGTTACTGGCCAAAGAACAGTTGGCCTTGGTTGTGCTCCTTCATCAAGCCCCTTCCTGCTGGTGCCCCTCAGGTAAGTCTTTCTTTAAGAGCCCACTTTCCCCATTTATAAAGGGAAGAACAGAAACAAGAGCAGGAGATGTGGGCCGAGGCCACCCTTTACCCAGCTCCCGAGGCAGGCACTATGGAGCTGCAGTGGCACCATGCCACATTCACACAGTGACACACAATCTTGTTTGCCATCCTGCTCTTGGCCTCATGTTGCTGAGGTTCTAGGTTTGAGGCAAGGGATGAGGCCAAGTGGGAATTCAGCTCTGGCAGAAGCTCTCCATCTTTAGGGAGATATGTGAACTGCTCTCCCTGATTTTTCTGCTAGAACTTGAAGGCACTTCCCTTCTCTCCTGCCTCCTCCCTCACTCTCCTCTCACAGGCCTCCAGCTGGGACTACAGCATACTGTACACTGCAGACTACACACTGAAGTGGCACTGAGTTTCTCTCTGCAGGGCCAGCATGGCCAAGGAGGGGCGTGGGCACGGTACCTTTGTTGGAGGCTGCGTCTGCTGTGGCAGTGGGGGCTGCTCAGTGGTTCCCATAGGCAGTTCAAATCGAGGGCTGGTTACCCGGCAGCCAGAGGGATTGAGAACAGAGAAGAAGGTACGAGAGGAGACAGGTCAGGTTGTGCTTGGAAAACTGCACCTAACCTCTGCCCAAGCAAAAGCAACGCAAATCACTTAGAGGCAGCAAGTCTGGCACTCAGCAATGCCTGTGGAAAGCCACAGAACAGCAGGAAAAACAGAACTGATGGGCCTTGGCTCAGACCCAGCTCTACCTATGCAGAGCTAGGAGACCTTGGGCAAGTGCTGCTCTGAGAAAGGTAAGCACAGGCACACTTGGAGTATGCCTGCTATGGAAGGGCTGTGTGCACAGAAGGCCCCTTCCCCAAAGAGTCTGTCTGGAGTGTCCTAATAATGTATAGGACCTCTTGGTGACATGCTCACCCTGCAAGCAGAAGTTCCCAGACCATCTGCAGGCTCATGGGTGCTCATATAGGGAGTGGACCCCAGTGACAGCATCTGCTACCTACACACAGACAGGGTCCAGGGTCCCCAACAACCAGTAACTGTGCTCTTGCTGCAGGTTCAGCATAGTGGTCAGAGGCAGCACGGGCACTCTGCAGTCTTAACATCACCTCATGCAAAAATCCATCCCTAAGTAACAACTAAGTGAAAGAAATATACTAGGAACTGGGTACAGTGGCACACACCTGTTATCCCAGCAGCTTGGGAGGCTGAGGCAGGAGGATTGTGAGTTCAAAGCCAGACTCAGTAACTTAGCAAGGCCCTAAGCAACTTAACAAAACCTCTCTCTAAATAAAATACGAAAAAGGGCTGGGAGGGTTGGGGTTGTAGCTCAGTGGTAAAGTGCTTGCCTCACGTATGTGAGGCACTGGGTTGGATTCTCTGCACCGTATATAAGTAAATGAATAAAAAAAGGTCCATCAACAACCAAAAAGTAAACAAATAAATAAGGTGTGAGGAGGTACTGAGATGTAGCTCAGTGGTTAAGTGCCCCTGGGTTCAATCCCTGGAGGAAAAAAAAAAAAAAAAGTACACTGGGCTCTAAAGGCCAAGGCAATGCCTCTGAAAGAGTGTCAATAACCCCACTGGGCAAGAAGAATCCAGCTTCAGGGGCCCACAGATCTGTGACCAGGTATCACCACATGCTACTGGCTCTGGCCAGTGACTGAGCCCTGAACCCCAGTGTTTTCAGGTGGGAAGTGAGTACCATCTTTCCCACTTGCCAGAGTTATATGAATTATTTCATATGGAACCACAAGATCAGGACCTACACAAAGAAGGCCCTGAAACTTTAATTCCCTTCCTTTAGGACACAGGTTCCTAAGTTTTTTGTTTTTTTTTTTTGTGGTGCTGAGGATGGGCCTCACACATGCTAGGCAAGTGCTCTACCACTGAGCTATATTCCTAGCCTCGGACACAGGCTCTTACCTGAGGTCCTTAAACCCCCTAAATCATAGCCTATGTGAGAATTTTTCTGGAGCACAGGGTTTAGAGAGCCTTCATCAGATTCCCAGAGGGCACATGACCCATGGAAGGTTAAATGCTGGCCTAGGCAGAGCTGATTTTATGCTCCAGAAGCAGCAGCAGCCATAAGTAGTGATTTCCTCCCTCATCTCCCACTCCTGCCCCAGGCCCTGGTGCTGACATCACCCAGTGACCTAAGCCCAGCTGCAACCAGGAAGGACAAAGGGGCAGCAGCAGGGCTGGGGCCAGAGTACTCACTGCATGAATTTACACGAGGGCCCCTCCGGGCAAAATCCCACGAGGTAATTCACACAGATGACTCTCCGCGTGTGCCGGTGCCTGCACAGGGGACCTGCGGAGCCCAATGTTTGGGTCACTCAGATGCTCCCTCTATAGGGGATACCTTGGTGTCCCTGCTAATAGTTAATAGCCCCACCCAGACTGCCTGGGGTACAGAGAACCAGAGTGTGGCTTCACAGGCTGGCTTGGGCTATCATTCATAGAGGACAACAGGCAGAAAGGCCTCTCTACACTGGGCTCCTCATTAAAACTGCAGGCAAGAATGCCATCTACACAGCCTCTTTGGGAGGCCTGAGGGAAAGGAGTGGTGTGAAAAAGTCTCACTGGCCACAGAATTCAGGTTTCACTGGGATAGGTGGCAAAGATGGAGTTATGTCCCAGGAGCACCAGCTGGCAGCCCTAGGGTGATATGGGCAGAGGGAGGGGTATGGCCTTTCTCCTGGGGCCAAGCCCAGCCTACCCCAGCACTTACCATGCTTGCAGAAGCCACGGTCGTACCAAGGGCAGTCCTTGATCTTGGACTCGGGGTCGATGTGAAGGAAGGGGCACTCCTTATTGCTGCACTCCCCTGCAGGAAACCCAGACATGTGGCCTCCTAGAACAGTGCTAGGAGAGTTCCCAAGGCAAAGAGGGCCCAAGGAGGTCCAGTGTCCAGGCTTGGCCTGGCAAACCCTGAGCCCAGGGCAGAATTTCAGTGGGGCTGTAACAGTTTTTCCCTCACATGCATCATTGCTGCTGAGAGGGATAATGACATCAGCAGAGCCTGGCCCAGGGCAGGCTCTCATCAAAATCCATAGTTCTACCCTTCCCAGAGGACAGTGTAGCAAGCCTGATATGCAAATGCACCTGAGACTAGGGAATTCCCGTTCTACTCTGATCAGCTCTTCCCATCTATGAGCTGGGATGGGGGAAGGTCTAAGGAATTCTAACTTTTAGGACAAACACAGGGAGGATCTGGGAGCTCAAGGCTGGGTCCATGTGGTGGCATGGGATAAGCCTAGATGATGACAACACACGTGGACTAGTGCTTCTCAGAAGTAACCAGCCCAGCTGGCCCCCGGCACCAGGACATACTTACTTTCCTGGCTGACCGCTCACCTCCAGATCTGCTCTGCAACCTATGTTAACCCTTGCTTACGATCGAGAGGACATGCAAACTCCTGCCCTGGCCCACCACAGGCTTAGGGACCCCCTTCTCAACCACTCTGGTTTCCTCTGCTGCCCAAGATGAATCCTTCCTACCCTCCAGTTGCCAGCCCAGGACTCCTCTTCAGAGTCCTTCCCAGGTCTCTCTGCCTAAAGTAGATTCCATGTGGGTCTCACCACTGCTCATTTCCTTCCCAGCACTTTCCATGAAAAATTTTCTTCCTTGTCTCACTGGCTTATCAGCTGCCTCTGTATCCAACCCACTGAAGTAAAAACTCATGGGGCAAGGACCAGTCTGTCCTCTTTACCCCTCTCTCTCCAGTGTGTAGAAGGAAACACCAATACACATCTGTGGACAAGTGACAGAAGTTGCAGGTGATGTGTCTGCATTAAGGCAGGAGCTACAGAGGATAGGCAGGCAGAGGGGATTTCAGAGATGGGCCCAGCAGGAAGGAGGGAACCCTAGGCCAGCCTGCAGAGAGATGCCCTCAAGGGAGAGCTCTGGGGCCAGATGGGAGGCTCAGCCCATTTCCAGCATTGCAGTGGGAGCCATGGGAAGCTGGGAAGGCCAAGTCCTAGTTCTGTCTGTCTGCTTTGACTTCATAGCTTATGCTGCCTCAACAAAACAAGCCACAACTATGATTAATAAGCCAGCAGCCAAGCCTGTTGGGATGCTGAAGTAATTAACATCTCCTCTAACAATAGTGCTTTGAAAGTGCAAAGCAAGCCCAGCACTCAGCTCGCTGCAAAGCCTCCCACAGGCTTCCAACCTCCTGCCCTAGCCCCTACATAGGGCCTGCAGTCCTAGGTCCAGAGCCAGCCCTCGTGATGACCAACAGAGCTTCTTTCTGGGTCACCTTGAAGGTCAGAGCAGTCATAAACCCTGGGGACTAAGCTCTACACCAGCACCACTGCTTCCACTCTGTCCCCTGCTTCTCTACACAAGTCACTCAGGAAAGGTGAGGCCTCATACTCTCTATGCAGAGCTCAAAGCAATCTGTTTTAAGGTGAAGAGGGGGGCTCACTGCCACCAGGAGACCAACTCTGAGGGCTGTGAAGATGGCAAAGATATTACCCCAGATCACATTCCCAGAGATAAGGCACCATCTTAGACCCAGGGGTACTCAATGACCAAGCTGGATGGAGACATGGATTTCAGGGATCAGGCTACCAGGAACAGAAGCAAGGTCTCTGATCGGCTGCGCTGCTTATTTGCTTAATGGGACCCTTGTAAATCTCAGTGTCTAAAAGTACTCCAAACTCTGGAGCACTATAAAGACATGAGGGGCTATCACCATGATACCCCCTCACTACAGAGCCAGTTAGGGCTAGTAGGCACTGCCCAAGTTTCTCATCAGAAACTGGATATTTGGGAGAAGGTAGAGATGCAGCAGGCCCTGAGGAGCTGCTTGGCCCCGGGGTCTGGGTTCTTGGTGCCACCTCCCAAGGTTTCATGCGCCTTACCGAACTTGGAGTAGAAGTAGCACTCGGGCATCTTGGTCATATCATACTCATGCAGGAATTCACACTGGTCCCCTTTCTTGCACAGCCCCCGCAGCCAGTGTTTGCAAACTACTGTCTTCTCACCGCTGATGTGGCGAAATGGGCACATGCCCCCTGCCCAGGAAGAGGGGCCACTGAGTAAGGAGAGGTATGGGCTTGGGGAAATGAAGGCGCCTTCACTCCACACTTCTCTGAACACCTGAAAGCAGCATACCCTAGGAGGTGGTGGAGGTGCCCCTGGCAGAAGGCAACGTGGTTTCAGGCACTATACCAGCAAACATTCTCTTTAACAGTAGTTTTAGTTGTAGATGGACACAAAGCCTTTATTTTATTCATTTATTTTTACGTGGTGCTGAGGATCAAACTCAGTGCTTCACATGTGCTTGCAAGCACTCTACCACTGAGCTACAACTCCAGTTCCCCAGCAAACATTTAACAGTTTAACAGCTCTGTATTTTAGTTTAAGGTGTTTTAGAAAAATATAACTGAAACATCAGATCAGGATTTCATAGATATTACTGTAAGATGAAGGTAAAACAGGCCTAGGTTGGGGTGGGGCTGCAGGGTCAGTTTATTCCTTAATTAAAAATAGTTCCAGTGGTACACTTACACAGGAAAATCACTGGGGTGGTAAAACAAAGACTGGAGTTTGAGAAACCCTAAAGGATAAAGAGGACCACCAAGAGAAGACTAGAGTCCAGACAGGAGTTGTCTCCTATTAGAAGTGCCCACTTTTAAGCCTCCAGATCAACTTTAAAATGGAAGAAATTTAATATATGCAAATGAGGGGAGATGTTCTTCTGCAGCAGGACCTGTACTACCCAAATGTGACAGAGTCATCCTCGGGGAATGTCAGACATAACTGGTATCCTAGCAGGACCACAGGGAAGGCCCAACTAGAAAGAAGCTGTAAGCAGGAAAGATCTATGCTTGCCCTGTCCAGTAGAATTTTCTGTGAGAGTGGAAGGCAATGGCCTACATCTCTGCCGTCCAGTATGACAGCCACTAACCACACATGGCTATTTAGCATTTGAATTATTATTATCTCACTGAGGTACATTTTAAATTTTTTAAATTTCAATTTGAATAGGTCCATGTGGGTAGCGGCTACTGTACTAACAAATAGCTGTGTTAAGGATTGCTGTGGCACACAAGGTGGCTGGTCAGAGGGTAGAATAAATAAGCAAACACATGGAAAAGAGACCAGGAGCCCAGTGGGGGAATGATATCCTGACCACATCGTATGACACTGAGCTAATTCATCTACCTGCTTCAGTGACAAATGACTGCTGTACAACCAAAACTAACCCAAATCATCCTCTAGATCCATCCCCTTGATCTAGTCCTGTGTTCCTTGTCAACTTTCTGATTTAGTTTCCTAAATAAATTTCCCTATAGGGTGAAAAATGCCCAGACATATACGTGCCCAGAATTAACAGACTATCTGGCTCATACAGTGTGTATTGGGACCTGGTTAGTACAAACAAGACCTCAAAAGAAGGAGTATTGCAGGGTCCTTTGCTAAGAAGCCACAGTGGACAGAAAGCCCGAGAGAATGGAATCAAAGAGGCCTATATTCACTGGGCTCAGTCACAGAGTAACTCTGGTACCTTGAGAACATTCCTGGATGCCTCAATGCTGGGGCTTCTTCTCTGCTGAAGTGAGAAGGCAGCATCTGAGCCAGGTTCAATCCTGTGTTTAGATTTGGGGATGCCCCATCAGGTTCCTAGCCTATTCAACTAAGGACATTGTTGGTCTGCAGAAGGCAACACAAGTCAGAGACTTGGTGACCTACAAGTCTGCTAGGGGACAAGGTGGTGAAGGGGCATTTTAGAAAACCGAAGTCTCTTACCTTTGCCACAGGCAGCTTTCAAAAAGAATTCACAGACAGCAGCCCCCGACTCTGTAAAAAGAAAGGGAGCAGCATCAACCAAAGCAAAGTGCCATTGCTATTTGTAATGACTGAAGACAATGGGAAGGGTTTATTCTGGCCTTTGACCTAGGGTACAGGAAACATTAGCAAAAGATGCAAAGCCCAACCAAGTCAGGCGAAAACCACTTATTTCAGTCATTCCCTGCAAATTGAGACATGCACATTGAGACAGAGCATCAGCCAGTGCTGAGAACCTCCTGGAAGTGACCTTTCAAGGTATTAGAAGCTGAAGAGTGGCTTTTCCTCAGATGCCACCCAGGTGCATGGTCCTTCCCAGGAAGCAAAGGTTACATTGGGGTGATACCCTTACTTCATCTGGTGACTAGAAACATACAGGACACCATGGCCTACATCTCTGAGTTCACCTGTATCTACTCTGCTCTTGTCCTGCAGGATGATGAGGTGATTGTCACAGAGAGGATCAATGCCCTCATTAAAGCAGCTGGTATAAATGGTGAACCTTTCCAGCCTGATGCATTTGCAAAGGCCTTGGTCAATATCAACAATGGAGCCTCACTGGCAATGTAGGGGCTGGTGGACCTGCTCTGGCAGCTGATAAGGCACTGGCAGGAGGTCCTGACCTCTCCACCACTGTTACCCTAGCTAAGGAGAAGAAAGCGGAAGAAAGAAGAATCTGAGGACTCTGATGATACTATGGGCTTTGGTCTTTTTGATTAAACCTCTTTTGTAACATCTTCAATAAAAAGCTGAACTTTACTGATATTTTGGGAATCTGCTCTGCAAAAACAAAATAACAACAAGAGTTAAGAGTGGTTGAGGAAGGTAGGATGGAGTACAAGGTCACAAAAATAGGTTAATTACCCCAGCTCAGACCTTCCAGGAGGGCTAATTCATGGCACTTAAGAAGGAGGAAATGATCTCACAGGAAATATCAACAAGCAAATGGGGCCTCTGAAGGGAGACAGGTTACAGGAAAAAGAGGCAGGTGCCTATGAGACGCTAGTCCTGAAGAAAGACTGTAAGTAAAGACATGGATTCAGACCTGCTCTTAATATGCATCATTAACATATCATTACTAAAGGAGCATGGCCTTTCTTTTGCACAGGTGTAGCCAGTTCTGGGAAGGTAAGCAAGACCACAGAGGCAGAGTACAGTAGAAGTCTATGGGACCCTGGGGCCAGCTATTCTGATGAGTCCAGGAATTCACCAGCCACAACTTCTAGGGTAAACTCTCCTTTGCTTCAAGAGCTGTTTTTCCTATTGGCAGGCATTTCAAAATTTCTGAAGAGCCACCAACAGAATATCTGAAACCCATTTGCTAAGCCATAGAAGAGATTCTATGGCTTATAAACAGCAGGTAGATTTTGCTACTATAGAGTTAAGGCTGTTGTATTTAGAGGTGTTACCAGGAAGTTAGAGGAGAGTCATTATTTGCACTTTAAAAAGCTTGAAAAGGGGCTGGGGATATGGCTCAAGTGGTAGCGCGCTGGCATGCATGAGGTACTGGGTTCGATCCTCAGCACCACATAAAAACAAAATAAAAAGATATTGTGCCCACCTAAAGCTAAAAAATAAATATTAAAAAAAAAAAAAAAGCTTGAAAAGTCTTGTGTTAAAAAATCCATCACTGGGGGGGCTGGGGTTGTGGCTCAGTGGCAGAGTGCTTGCCTAGCACACATGAAGCACTATGTTTGATCTGCAGCACTACGTTAAAAAACAAACAAAAAACACCTACATAAACAAAGGTATTGTGTCCATCCATCTACAAGTAAATATATATATTTTTTAAAAATGTATTACTTGCATGCCAGGTGCGGTGGTGTAGCCTGTAATCCCAGCAGCTTGGGAGGTTGACAGGAGGATCACGAGTTCAAAGCCAGCCTCAGCAATGGCGAGGTGCTAAGCAACTCAGTAAGACCCCGTCTCTAAATAAAATACAAAATAGGGCTGGAGATGTGCTTCAGTGGTCATGTACCCTTCAGTTCAATTCCCGGTACCAAAAAAAAATATCACTTGCCAGGCATAGTGGCACACGCCTGTAATCCCAGTGGCTCTGGAGGCTGAGGCAGGAAGATCATGAATTCAAAGCCAGCCTCAGCAACAGTGAGGTGCTTAGCAATTCAATGACTCCCTGTCTCTAAGTAAAATACAAAAAACAGGGCTGGCGATGTGGCTCAGTGGTTGAGTGCCCTTGAGTTCAATCACCAGTACCCCCCAAAAAAGAAAAAAAAAAAAAAAAGTAACACTTAAGAGTATTTAGTCTTGTTCTTTTCAGAGGTTCATTCTTTAAAGTCAGAAATCCACAGTCCTGGGGACTGGTATCAGGGAAATTGAATAAGAGAATACCTCAGGGGCAAAACTGATAGTTCTTCTCAAACTGAGATGGGAATGAACTGCAGGAAGAGGAAGGATTATAGCCTCATTGGGCTTTAGCATAATGAATATGATCACAAACAAACAGTGAGTGCTACCAAGTTTGAGGCCCTGGGCTGGGGAGGCACTTGTGCTGACCTGACCATCCCTAGGAATAGATATGTGGGATCCTTATCATTGCACCTGCTCCCACAGGCTTGTAGAATGATGGAGAGATGAGTTACCTTTCCTGGATTGTTCCATGACCTCAAGCCAGAAAAAGGCTGGGAGTCCTGGTACATGCCTGTAATCTCAACTCTTGGGAGACTGAGGTGGGAGCATTATTTAAGTCCATGCATTCAAGACTAGCCTGGGCAATACAGGGAGAAGGCATATTAAAAACAAAACAAGACAGAAGGACCAAGTGCTATGGTGTATGCCTGTAATCCGAGTTGGCTGGGAGCCTGAGGCAGGGGGGATCACAAGGTTGAGTCCAGCCTCAGCAAAACTTAGGGAGATACCATCTCAAAATAATAATAAAAATAAAGAGAGCTGGAGATGTAGCTGAGTGGTAGAGCACTTACTTAGCACTTGCAAGGCCCTAAATTCAATCCATAGTACCATAGGGGGGAAAAAAGACAGAAGTCCTAGTGTGTGAGTGGATGTGTGTGTGTGTGCAAGATAGTGTGTTTCTGAAGTTGAAGAGTTATTTGCAGGTGTCTGTGTGTGTAAAATAATTTGAATTTGTTTTTTGGGCATAAACATTGTTTGGCACATGAGTATCAGCAGGAGGGGATAGACTCAAGTTGGAAGCCCTGATTGCCAGAAGGGGAATGAGGCTGTAGAGACAGGAAGAATAGCGCCAACTGCAGTCCCCTGGCAGTCATGGGAGAGGGGATGCAACCCTGAAGAGATCTCCTGGCTTTGCCCAAAACTGCTGCCCCACCTGGACCTCTATGAACTCCTTGAGCTTTAGTGTTATAGCATTACCTGTCATTACCTCAGAAAGGAGTTAAGAATTAATCTGCTGAAAGTGAGGATAGAGAAGCCAGGAGCCCCCATGTGAAGACGGAGAGTAGAGGGATCTCAGAACAAGGGTCGATATATCCGCCTGGGTGCAGTAAATGATCTGGAGTTGGGTTTCAGAGGAAAAGCTGATAGATCCAGAACCAGGAGTGATCTCCCAGGAGTGGGGAGTCTTAGGAAAAGAACGGAATCCGAAGGTCTGGTTGTGGGTTTCCTGGAGCGAAGGAGAGCTGGTTCTTCCCTCACTGGGCTCCTGGAACAGCCCGGTTTTGGTGAAAGCAATAAGGCGGCGCTTGGGGTGAGGGAGGTGGGAAGGGACTTCTCTCTGGTTGGAGAAGCGGGTGTGTATGTGGAGGTTTCCAATTTGGGAGAATGCGCCTTCATTCAAGAGTTACGGGGACAACCGACACAGTCCTGCCGCCCTAAAGCTTATCACGAACAGCCCCAGGCGATCCAGGGTCCGAGGAAGAGGCTCCCGGGTCCGGGCGAGGGAGAGGGGTCCCACATGAGGGGAAAGGGCCCGGGACGCTGAGTCTCGGGTCCGAGCTGGTCTCGCCCGCCCACCCGCCCGCCGGGGCCCCGCGCTCACTGTCCATGCCCGGGAAGGGCAGCGGCTGCGCCCCGAGCTGCTGCTCCACGGCGATCTCCAGGTCGAACTTGATGTGGTCCACGCTGGCGATGATTTCCTGCATGGCGGCGGCGGCGGCCCCCCGGCCCGGCTCCCCCTCAGGTCTCTGGCCGCCCGCACCCACTGCCCACCACCGGTCCCGCCACACACGGTCCTCCTCCGCCTTGCCCGCCGCCGCCGCCGCCGCCGCCGCCGCCCGAGGGATGCCGGGAGCGCCCGGAGCCCGCGCCGGCCCTTTCGCCTGTCCAGACCCGGCCAATAGAGCGCAGAGTGCCTCCGCTCCGCCAGGCTCGCCTAGCCGCCAGCCGAACGCCTGCTTCGGCCCGCGCGCGAGTTCGCTACGCGGAATGTGCTTGCGCCTGCGCGTGGCCGGGTTGAGGCACGCATCTCGCAGAGGGTGACCCTGAGGGCGCCGCGGGGAGTGGATTCGGGGACGTGGAGGCCCGGGCGGCGTTCACTTCGCTGGAAGGTTCGAGTGAGTTCCTGTTGGCTCCTCGCAGGAGTCCCCGAACCCGGCGGAGCCTGAGCCGGGCCGGGGCGTCGTGGGAGGAGACCGGGCTCTAAAGGCGGGTGGAGAGGGGTCAGGGTTGGCCCGAGGGTCCCGGAGCGCGTCTGGGGTCCAGCGGGTCCCTCCAAGGGGGAACGGCGCTGGGAGTCTCTAATTCAGGGTTTCAGACCTGGTAAGAAAATTCCTTTATTTTCTCTGTGTGAAAGTGGGCATTTCTGTCTCTGACCGAGCAGCGTTAGCAGCGCCTGGTATTTCAGGCGGAGGTGAGTGTTCGAGCGGCGTCTGCGGCACCTCGATCTAACGTTTACACTGGTTTCCGCCTTGAAATTATGACAGGATATCACTATTTAATACATCGAACGAGAAGCACATATACTAGCGCAGCCTGAATGTGTATATATTGCTATAGTACTGCTGCAGGACCTTAGCAAATCTCTTCCTTACCTCGTCTTGATCACTAATCTGTTCAACCTTCTATCACCTCGGAGGTCTTTCCATTGGCAACCATCCAATACAGCCATACCTTAAAATATTTTCCTGCTGTTAGCTGGTTATTCTGATTTTTTTAAATTAAAGGATTTAAAGTATGCAGGCTGAAATCTCTAGCTCAGTACTGTCCAAAAGAAATAAAATGCAAGGCCCAGCACACTAGCGCAAGCCTGTAATCTCAGTACCTTGGGAAGCTGAGACAGGAGGAGCCTGAATTCAAAGCCAGCCTCAGCAATTTAGGGAGGCCTTAAGCAACTCAGCGAGACCCTCTCTGTCTTTAAATAACATAAAAAAGGGCTGGAGATGTGACTCTGTGGTTAAGCACACACACAATATATATATCAAACACATAAGTAATTTTAAATTTTCAAATGTCACATTAAATTAAAAGAAACTTTGAAATTAATGTTAATAATATATTTTACTTAGCCCAGCATAGCTGAAATATTTCAGGACTTTTAAAAGTTATTAATGAAAAAAAAAATAAAAAAAAAATAAAAGTTATTAATGTGTATTTTAGATTCTAGTTTTTTGTAAAAAAAGACTTTGAAATCCAATGTGTATTTTACACTTAAAGCATATCGCCTTTCAGACTGGTCACACTGCAAGTGCTCGGTAGCCACATGCCACAGTGGCTGTTGTCTTGGACAGCACAGCTCTTCCCTATTTGTCCACGAGTTTTCCATAAAAGAAACACTTGAGTTAGCTTCCCTTTGCAGAGGCCTAGAATGCCAACAACAAATTTTTCCTAATAAGTGATAGTAACTACAGCTTTTTATATATATATATATATATATATATATATATATACACATACATATTTTTAGCGGTAGAAGGACACAATACCTTTATTTATTTATCTTTATGAGGTTCTGCGGATTGAACCCAGTGCCTTACCTATGCTAGGTGAGTGTTCCACCACTTAGCCACAACCCCAGCCCAATAACTACAGATTTTGAATACCTCTTAAATGCCAGGCATTGTACTAAAAGCATCTCATGTAATTTCATTTTACAGTTGAAGCAATCAAGGCACAGGAAGGTCAAGTAACAGGTTCTAGGACTCTAACTTGGCTCTGACTTTAGTGTCCATGTTCATAGATCAAGATTTAATAATACCAATAGCTTATTATCTAATAAGTGTTGACAATGCCAGCACTGTGCTACATGCTTCGTATAAGAGATTGAACCCAGGGGCACTTAACCACTGAGCCACATCCCGTTTTTTAGAGGCAGGGTCTCACTGAGTTACTTAGGGCCTCTCTAAGTTGCTGAAGCTGGCTTTGAACTCACAGTCTTCTTGCCTCAGCCTCCCAAGCTGATCTAATGCATCATGATCTCACCTGTTGCTACAGTGCTATGTGGGTAACCTTGTTAATCTCAGTTTAGAGGTAACACTGATGTTGGAGCAGTGAGTGCCCAGGGGCATATGGATAGTTTTTTGACAGTGCTGGAATCTAACCTCAGGGCCCACTTTAACCACTTCTCTGTCCTCCTTCTGTCTTTAGTGACTATGATTTTGAGTTGACTTCTTTTTTTTCCTGATGTATTCCAGGCCCTGGTGGGACAGAAAAGACAGAGATGGACCCGGTGAGACTTGTCCGCCTATTCTCTCGGGCCCGCCCCTTGGGGCTCTTGGGCCTCCAGCACTTTGACCTTCTTGGAGCCCAGTGGACAGGAGGCAGGGAGGGGCTTGTGTGGCTGAGGGCTGTGGGGCCAACTCAGCCAGCCTTAGCTGCCTTCAGCAGCTCCCCTTTGTCAGCTGCCTTTGAATCTGGGAGCCAGAAGAATATGAGCAGCCTCCACTCTGACCCAAGCCAGCCCAGCTCCACAGGCCCTCAAGAGGAAGAGGAGAGCTTTGGAACCCTCTCTAATAAATACTCCTCCCGGAAGATATTCCACAAATCAACACCCCAGTTGTATGACCTACGACTCAGGGAACAGAATATTGAGGAAGATGAAGAAGGGGAACTGGAGCCAAAATCATGGCAGGGCCCAAGAAACACCCCATATTGGTACTTCCTTCAGTGTAAACGCCTAATTAGGGAAGGAAAGGTGAGGAACCTTGGGATTTGGCTTTCCTGCAGCTCAGTATATTGTGGGGGGCCACCCAGCCTTCCCCACAATACATGTTGAGATGCTCAGTGTTTGGTCCATGGGCCCTTTTTCTTCCCTGGCATCATTTACCCTGCTGACCCATCAGTCTCATGGCGTTGACGTTCCCCAGCTGCAGTTTTCGGTGTATATCTCCAGCTGTGTTCTTCCTGTGGACTCTGATCAGTGTATCGGTTTTCCTCCTCGTCATCTCCCTGTGCTTATCCACACAGGCACCTGTACAGATTCAAGTCTGTTTTCCCACGCTTCACCTCACTTCATGGCAATCCTGTCATTCCATTGCCAAGGCCAAACTTCCTTAGGTCATGCTTCATTCTTCTCTTTCTCTTACCAACTCTACCCCCAGTCTGTCGCTAGCCCTAAGTACTTCTCACAGCCCCACTCTTGAAAGGCCTTCTCTTTGCCCTTCTCGGCTATTAGAACACTTAACGCTTGTTGCTCTGGTCACTTCCTGCCATGCTGTCAATCACAGCACAGAGCTGTCATGTTAAACAGAAGGCAGATTGAGTTAATCATCTCCCCCCAATTCCCAGTGTATTCAGTGGCATTTATGTTGGGGTGTAGTTTAGTGGTAGAGAATTTGCCTAACATGCTTGAGGCCCTAAGTCTAATCCCCAGCACCAAAAAAAAAAATAAAATAAAAGAGAAAAAAGGTTATTTTCGTGGGGACTGATAATGATATTGCGTTGTGTTTAAAAGTCTCTTGGAGGTATGTGCTGAAGTTCTTATGGATGAACTGAGAGGATCACTGAGATTTGCTTTAAACATACTATTTGGAGGGGGCATGAAAGCTACAGGTGCTACAGGTGAAACAGGATTGGCTAGATATTTACAGTTGTAGTTATACTGTTCTCCTTGCTTTTGTGTACATTTCAATGAAAAGTTAAGAAATAAAGAGAAGCCAAAATCTTCACGAGGCTTTTTTTTTTTTTTTTTGGAGCCTGCAAGATCTGCCACACTCATCCTCCACTCCTCCATTATCTCTCTACCCTCATCTCTTACTTTGTTTCATTCACCTCAGCACCCCAACTTCTCATTCATCTTCCAGGCCCACTCCTTTGCACTGACTATTCCCTCAGAGAGCCTTCTGGCTCCCTCCCCTACCTTCTTCAGGTCTTTGTTTATGCGCCACCTGGCTCCTAAAGATGAATCCCCTGTACCTTTCTTCCAGTGTTCCCTGCTTTAATTTTTGTTCATAAATACATATGTATTTCTTCATTATTGCACTTTGTGTCTGTCTTTCCAACTACAACATGAGCTTCATGAAGGAGGAGGTTCTTATTCACAGCTAGTGAATAGATTTTGCTAGGCTTATAATAGGACTCAGTAATTATTTGGATTAACAGATGAAAGTAATTAAGGGGTGAAGTAGTGAACTGAGGATTTAAAAATATATACATATGTGTGTGTATGTGTGTATGTATAATCTTTTTTGGTGTTGGAGGATCAAACCCAGGGCCTCACACATAACCAGGCAAATGCTCTACTATGAAGCCACGTCCCTCCCTGTGAACCAAGGATTGAACTGGAGAGTAGAGATGAGGCTAAAGCAACTGTGGTCTGTGGAGGTTTGTAGTCACCCAGAGCTGCTGCCCTGTACCATGTCAGGATGGTTCCTGCCTCCCTCTACTGAGGGTCTCTGAGGCCATCCTAAGCCCTTGTCTCATCCTCACCTTGTCTCCCTTTCCTGCCAGCTGGCTGAAGCCCTGGACCTGTTTGAGAGGCAGATGCTAAAGGAGGAGCAACTACAGCCACTCGAGTACAACTACACGGTGCTGATTGGAGGCTGCGGGAGGGCTGGCTACCTGAAGAAGGCCTTCGGGCTCTACAATGATGTGAGTGTGCCACATGGTAGTGGGGCGAGGCTCTAGAGAGTATGGGCTTTGGGACCATAAGGCTGGGTACAGGTCCTGAGTGTGCCACTTGCTGGCGCTTTACTCTGGGTGGAGGACTTAAGCTCCCTGGTGGCAGAGTTATCGTCTATAAAACGAAGGTGATCTTGGGTATTAATTGAGATGACACCTTCAGCACCCGCCTGGGCCACCATGGGCCCACACAGCTCCTTCCTTTTCTGCTACTGTTCCTGGTTCATGTTGTTTTTTATCCCCTGCATATGGCACCCACATGCACTGGCTTCCACATGAGAAAGTACTTTTATTCCTTCTGGAAGATCACTTTACTTTCCATTCATTTACCTCTTTGGTGTGTCATCATTGGGAAGCTATTTCCTTCATGAGTCAAGAAAGGCTTGCTGGGGAGGTCGGTAGACCTGTGGGAGAGAGCCTGTCTACTGAGGCCAGAAGGTTGGGGGTCCTTTACCCAGCAGGGGCTTCTGGGGATTTTAGTCTTCCTGTCACTTGGGTCACTGCACTCCAGGTCCAATGATCTATAGCTGGAAGCAAGGGGGAGTCATTGCACTTACAAATGGTAGAATAGCATGACAGCTTTTAAAAGACCTACATAGACTTAGGGACCCTGCTCAAAATAAAAAGGTCTGGGATGTAGCTCAGAGGTAAAAGTGCCCTGGTGTTCAATCTCCAGTACTGCAGAATAAATAAAGACCTAATAAATAGTCATGGCACAGGAAGACAGAAGGCTTCCCTGGCCAACTAGCTGGTAGAAAAGAGTTCACATGCCAGCTAATGGGCAAGGAGAAAAGGGGGAAGTTGGTCACCCATTCAGTAGCAATTCTCCTTTACATCTTCAGAATTCTTAAGTGATTGCCCTGCTTATCACCACCTCAGTGAAGCCAGGCTTCTCTATTTAGCCTTTGTCATTCTCTATCCTTTGTTGCCTGTTGTTGTTCTTATTGATGTGTGTGTGGTACTGAGGATTGAACCCAAGGCCTCAAGTGCATGTGAGGCAAGCACTTACCAACTGAGTTATATCCCCAGCCCTCAAGTGCTTTTTATTTGGAGACAGGGTTTCACTAAGTTATCCAGGCTAACCTTGAATTTGTGGTCTTCCTGCCTCAGCCTCCCAAGTTGTTGGGATTATAGATGTATTCTAATTAGTATTTTATGTTTACTTTTTTATGTATTTATGTAGTCCTGCAGATTAAACCAAGGGGGACTTTACCTTTGAGTTACATTCCCAGCCCTTTCTTATTTTTCATTTTGAGAAGGGCCTCACTAAGTTGCTCAGACTGGTCTCAAACTTGTAATCCTCCTGTCTCAGCCTTCAAGTCACTGGGATTACAGGCATTTTTTAAATAGACGTTTTATTTTAGAATAATTTTAGCTTTATAAAAAAGTTGCAGAGACAGTATAGAAAGTTCCCACATATCTCTCACCCAATTTTTGCCATATTGACATCATATAGTACCATACTACATTCATCAAAAGAAAACACCCAATATCAGTGCATGGCTGGGATCTAAACTCCAGACTTTATTTGGATTTCACCAGTTTTTCCATTCTTTCTATTCCTGTGTGCATTCTGGGCTTTCAGACTGGCACTAGTTCCTGCAGTCTGTGACATTTTATGAGTCTTCCCTGTTTTTCACAACTATGACAGTTTTGGAGAGCACTGGTCAGGTCTGGTACAGACCCATCAGTGTGTTTGGCTGGTGCTTTCTCTTGAGATAGGAGTTGGGGTGTGGGAAAAGTCTATCGCAGAGGTTAGTACCCTTTCATGTCAGGGTGCACATGCATCAACACGTCTTATTACTGATGATGTGAACCTTGGTCACTTGGTGAAAGTGGTGTTTGCTAGGTCTCTCCAGTGTTTTCTTATACTTTTTCCCTTTTCACCCTGTTTTCTGGGTATCCTTCACAGCATTTATGACTGCTTGTGAGTACTTGATCATCTGCCATTTATTTTTCTTTTTCTAATGAATGCTTAATGAGGATAGGCTCTGCTTGCTCTGATCACTACTGGTTCCCACTGAGGACATGTAGTAAGTCCTTTGTCCACACCTATCAAATACATGATAAACACAGAGTGTACATCTTCCTCCAAGAATAGATTATCATCTGCACTCCCCCCCCCTTTTTTTTGAAAAAAAGTACTTTTTTGGAAAAAGCAGCTTGCCACTATATTATATCCTCAGCCCTTCTTATTTTTTTAATTAAAAAAACTTTTTTTTAGTTGTATATTGACACAATACCTTTATTTTATTTCTTTTTAAGTGGTTGTGAGGATTGAACCCAGTGCCTCACGTGTGCTAGGCAAGTGCTCTACCACTGAGACACAAACACAACTCCTTATTTTTTATTTTATTCACTAAGTTGCCCAGGCTGTCCTTGAACTTGCAGTTCTCTTGCGTCAGACTCCGTTAGCTGAATTACAGGTGTTTATCATCACACACAGCCCACCTGCACTTTTCAGATAAGGAAATTGAGGCTCAGAGAAGAATGGACATGTCCATGGTTGCCCTGTAGGAGAGCATTGAAACTGGGATTTGAGCCCCAAATGACCTGACTCTAGCAGGGCTCTTTTCAGTGCCTCAGCAGCTGGTCACCTGCCCTCATTGGTCAGATGACCTTCTCCAGGCAATAGTGAGTGCTTGGCTTTACTAGTAGGCTCTGACTCCAGTGTCTTCCTCAGCCACCTGGAGGCTTTACAGGTCCCGAGTTAGCCTCATTCCCAGAGTGTGACGTAGAGGTTGGGTAGTCTTAAGAGTGAGTATTGCTGTTGGCTGCTGCAAATGGGTGGGGAGCCACCCAAGATCACTAACCTATACTCTCCTACCAGCCCCTGCATCTCTTTTAGGATGATGGTTTCATTCCCAGTTCTGCAAGGAAAACTCACTTGCCCGTGACCCCTCAGTTAGTGAGCACTGTACTTCTTTTCCCAGACAGATCCACCCTGTGGCCCTTTGCCAATCAGGGTGATCTGGTTGGACCTGAGGTTAGGGATTGGAAGGCCCCTGCTGCAAACACCCCAGGCCCAGAGCAGTCTTGACAAGTGACCAGGTGCTCAGCGAGAATGATTTCTCATTGGAATTTCTGGGGTGAAGTCTTCAGTTTTCAGAGTCCCTCTGGTAGAGTTGGGTTTAGATATGTAAATGTCCCTTGGTTCAGCCTTAGCCCTTTGAAATGTCCCTTGGCTCAGCCTTAGCCCTCAGGTCAGTGGATTATAGTAATAGAGACCTCTCTAGGGTCCTATGGGGTAGCTGCTTTTCTCTGCGTCCAACTGATCTTGGTACTACCTCTTAAATTTCCTTCACTTCAACAGATGAAAAAACGGGATTTAGAGCCCTCAGATGCCACATACACAGCCCTATTCAATGTCTGTGCCGAGTCACCCTGGAAGGACTCTGCCCTTCAGAGTGCCCTGAAACTACGACAGCAGCTCCAGGCTAAAAATGTCCAGTTCAACCTGAAGACATACCATGCTCTGCTGAAGATGGCTGCCAAGTGCTCAGACCTCAGGATGTGCCTTGATGTGTTCAAGGTGGGACAGCCCCCTCCCTGTTTCTCCCTTTTGGGCCCAGTTCCACCAGGGCAGGTTGGAGGCAGAGACAGTGGTAGGCTGTGGGGCAGGGTGGGGGGGCAGGAAGCCACCAGTGGTGGGGTGGGGAGCCCCTGTACTGACTGGAGGGCCAGAGTAGGGGCTTGAGGTACTGAGAGGTGGAAGGGACGTCTCAAGGAGGGGAGAGCCAAACCTGACACACCAAGGGGCCAGTGGGAACTAGACACACTGCAGCACAACATGATGGTGGGGTTGTTCCAAAGATTCTAGAAGACCTGTCCTTTCACAGATGAGGAAACCAAGGCCAGAGAGCTGGGGGCCTTGCCCTCATGGTCATAGCTGGCTGATGATAGAGCTGGGACATTGAGGCCAGGGCTGCCAAACATGGCTGCTAGGGTGTGGTCTATGCAGAGGTGCTGCCCACACTCACTGGCAGGTAGATGTTTGGCTCAGGAGCTGGTTCCAAACTGGCCCCAAGTGCCATATTTATTCACTCAGCTCATTAAGACACATGAGCCTGGTTCTGGCCCTAGGGGGTCAGGCACCTGGGCCTGGATCCTGTTGCAGATTCTCAATGGAACCGCCTTGTTCCCTCCCAGGAAATCATCCACAAGGGGCATGCTGTCACAGAAGAGACCTTTAGTTTCCTGCTCATGGGCTGCATCCAGGACAAGAAGATAGGCTTCCGACTCGCCCTGCAGGTTTGTCCCTTCCACTCTGCCTTCCTGCCCTCCTTCCCCTGTGCACCTGCACCAGGAGTGCAAAACAATGATCCTTTGTGCATTTCCTGAGTTTTTGCTACTACCTTATGCCAAGCATTTTTATATTTGCCATATTTTGTCTTTCTCAGCAGCCATTGTGAGGCTCACCGCTCTCATTTTACAGGTGCTCAGGAGATGAGGTCCATGGAGACACCAGGGCTGGTCCTCAAGTGAGGGCACAGCCAGCCCATACCTCTCCCACTGTGCTGGATGGCCAGCCCAGGCCCCTTTAGCTCATGGTCCCTGACTGCCGTAGCTCACTCCACATCCCCTCTTCTCTCCACTCAGCATCTGCAAGTGTGACCCAGAAATGTGTACTTAATCCCAAAGTCAAACCTGCAGCTCTAATCCCAGTTCAGCCCCCAGAGATAATTTTCCTCATCGTGTGGGAAGCTGGTGTCAGTGCTGGTGCACAGCTACTTCTGAAGTCACACTGTCCTAAAGTATGCTCCAAACAAGCAGCAGCAGCCCCATCTAAACTTCCTGTGTCCAAATCTGCATTTCAGCAAACTCCCTGCACAGAGTCTGAGTGCCCTTACAAGGAAGAGTCTGGGGTCAGATGCTCCCATTCCCGATGCAGAACCCTTAGAAGTAGTGGCTAGCTGGCCATCATGGATGTAGGTAGTTCCTCTCATTCCTTGAACTGATCTGTTCTTCTTAGAAGTAACCTATTGTAGCAGTGGCCTATTTGTGTTACACTCTGGTGAACTGCTTCTGTTAGACACTGTTAGCCCCATTTTTCAGGTGAGGGAACAAAAGGTGAGGCTCACAAAAGTTAGTACCTGCCTGAGGTGCTACGGCCACTAAAAGCTGGGCCTTTAAATGACATTTTATTTGACACTAGACCCTGAATCCCAACTGCCATAGGATGGTGTATGTGTCCCATAAATCTCCATCTGTCAGCCATTCCTTGTTGGGTATGTCTGCCAAGATCCTGGATCTCTTCAAGGCCCTGCTGTGGTGGGCAGTGGCCCTCTTGCAAGACTCATCCAGCTAGGGTCTAACCTGTTCCTCCACATCTGCACACACATCTCTGAGGAGGGCAGGGTGTCAGACGTATGCCCTAACCCCAGGTTGAGGGTAGATTCCTGCTAAGCCCACAAAGCAGAGGAGACCTCTGTGGTCTCTTAGAAATGTGTCAGAGCAACCCAGATATGAACAGAGCTGCATCCGTTGATCACACACTGAATGTACTAGATGTCATGCAGTGGAGATGAAAATAATATGTCCTATGAGCAAGTGGAGACTCAGTGTTCACAACTAATGAGGGTGCAAGACTTCAGCTGCAGTTGGCCTGAACCCAGCCCTGCAATCTGCTGGCTCCAAATCTGGCTCCATGTTGCCCTGTGCTGGACTCTCAAGAGAATTCTCTGTTGGCCTCAGCACCCTTAAGTCAGGAGTTGGGCATGTAGCAGGCACTCTGGAGTTGCTGCTGGATCCCATCCTTAGAAGTCAGGCTAGGCTCTTCCAGAACCTAGCCTCTCTGGCCATCTCTCCCTTAGGTATGGGGCTTTAACGATGTGCACAGGGATGAGACTGCGAGAACAATTTTGGGGTGAACTTGAAGAAGGAGAAGAATTGCAGGCCCCTGTGAGGCCTCCCATGGAAGGAGTTTCAGAATTCTGACAATTCTTATTTGTCAGAGCCTGGTGTCAGGTTAGACATTTTTCTTGAGATGTGGTCTTACTGTGTTGCCTAGTCTAATTCTGAACTTCTGGTCTCAGGTGATCTTCATGCCTCAGGCTCCCATGAGCAGGGACTAAAGTTGCATTATACATGCAAAGCTCTTTTTTAATTTGGTGGTGCTGGAGATGGAATCCAGGCCTTGTGCTTGCTAGGCAAACACTGTACCAGTGAGATACACTCCAACCTTCTTATGTCTTCTGATTTTGCTGTCTGCTTGCTGCCAGTGCCCACCTCTACTAGGAGGCGGGAACACTGAGCTCATGTTTGTCTCCTCCTACAGGTGTGGAGGCAGATGCTGAGCCTGGGACTCAAGCCAACCCAACATGGCTACAACTTGCTGTTAGGGGCAGCTCGGGACTGTGGCTTGGGGGACCCAGAAGTGGCCTCCAGGCTGCTCCTGAGACCCAGAGAGGAGACAGTCCTGCTCCAGCCCCCAGGCAGGCAGCAGGCAGGGAGGAGAGGCTCTTCTGTGATTGATGGTGTAATGACCAGAGTACATGTGGAGGCCCTGGAGAGAGAGCTGTTTCTGGAACCTTCTCAGGCAGTTGAGGGACTTCCAGAGCCTCGGGAGGCCCTAGTGCCCAGTAAGGCACAATCTGAGGTGGAAACCAAGGCAGAGCCTGACCACACAGCAGCTCTTACCCCAGTGGCTCTGAAGCCATCTCCCTTGGAGTTGGAGATCAACCTCCTGACCCTGGAAACTGTCTCCCCAGCTGTGGTCTCCTTTGGGACAGTGATCACTCCTGCTGACAGGCTAGCTTTGATAGGGGGCCTGGAGGGCTTCCTGGGCCAGATGGAAAAGCACGGGCTCCAGCCGGACATTAAAACCCTTACACTGCTGGCTGAGGTGGTAAAGCCTGGGAGCCCTGCGGAGTCCTCACTGCTGACCATCCTAGACAGGCACCAGGTGGAGGCCGATGTGACATTCTTCAACACACTGATGAGGAAGAAGAGCAAGCTGGGAGACCTGGAAGGGGCAAAGGTGAGGGTCTCCAGAGCAGGCTCTGGGCTGTCAGGGACTCTTTCTTTGTTCCTGACCCTTGGACTGTGGAATGTGGCTCATCTGTATCTGGAACCCTGTTCTAGGTCCGGCCCTGGTGAGTCTGGAAATTGAGCCACTAGCCAGCCAGGTGCACCCCTGCTATCCCCTGCCATCTTCATGGAGCTCACAGATTGGTGGGGAAGGGAGATGTCATCATCACCTTGATAAGGCGATATGATGGAAACAGGGTTGCGGTGCCACTCAGCCCGGCACTGGAGCCCGAGTGGCCTCACCCTACACACTGCAAGGCTGCACTCCCTCCACTCTGGACACTTCTCAGAGCGTCACATCTATTCATTTCTCTACTGAGCAAATCAGGAGGCACGACTTGTATGTGCATGGCTTCACAGGTGGAGGTGTTGGGGCTTTTGACAGGGTTTTGGCCGTTCATATAAAGAGATTTTGTGTGATTTTTTTTGCCAGAAGTACTGCCCTGGGCATTTGTGAGAGTCAAAGGTGACAGATGTTGCCTCTGCCTTCATGCCCACAGTGGACAAGTTAAACATGACAGAGCCCTTCCCCAGTGGTCCATCCTGACTCAGGCAGGCTGAGGGGACATCCTCTTCTTCATACCAGGCTTGGCGCTCCCTCAGCCAGCACTTCCCACTGTGGGCAGCGTTGCCTCCTGCTCTGAATCTTGAGCCTCTGAGGCAGCTTGTCCTCAGACTGATTGGCTGGCTGAGAAGCTGGAGGCAGCAGGTGGGAGGCAGGATATGAAGGGCAATCATGGAGAAGGGACAGTAGGCTGGCAGTCAGGGTGCACATGCTGAGGAGCTGGGTCCTGCAAGGAAAACTGGGCAGTATTTGGACCTAGAGTGCTGAGCTGGGGCCAGAGACACTTTGCTGTCAGCAGAGGGAGCCATGAAGCCTCTGAGTAGAGCTGTGCCCTTGGAGTCTTCAGCATCCAGCCAAGGGCTTCATGGGAAGGCCTCAGCAGGGTTGGTGGGTCACAAGTCACAGGTTACAATGACATGTCTGCCCTCACAGGCGCTGTTGCCAGTCCTGGCAAAAAGGGGAATTATCCCCAACCTACAGACGTTCTGCAACCTGGCCATTGGGTGTCGTAGGCCCAGGGATGGTCTGCAGCTGCTTGCAGACATGAAGGTGAGGGGACTTAGGCCCAAGTAGGGTGCCTGTGGTTCTGGGGAACACTTGGGTGCTCAGGAAGAAAATCTGTGGGCGAATTGGGAGTCCCAGGGAATAGTGGGCCCCAGGCCTCTGCACTGGGGCAGGGCAAGTAGGATAGCTCCTTTCTGCTGCTGAATGGCCATTTTAGAGCAAGTTGATCTTGGTGAGCCACTGTGAGAATTAGTACAGAAAGCAGAGGGTATTCCTGTCTGGAAGATGGAGAGGTGGGGGACAGGTCTGGGACCTGACACTGCAGAGGGACCTTGCTAAATGGATTTCACCTGATCACAGCAGAGCGCCACTTCCTGGGGTGTTTGTATTCACTGTTGTGTCACCCAGCCAATGCTGGCTGCTTTTCTAGGCTGACCACCACATTCTGATGACCACACTTGTCTGTCACCAGAAAACTCATCCACGAGTGAGAAAGTGGTTGCCTCCTGCCTCCTTCTCTGCCTGTCAGTTATCTCAGTTCTTCAGGGAGAACACATGCCTTCCTTTTGGAGGGGGAGGACAGCCTATTGTTGCTATGAGATTCCACATTGCATTCCTAGTAGCTGCCACAAGACAGCCACAGCAGACTGTTCTGTCCTAACAAATATCATCTTTCTAATTGTGTGATATCCGTGGTGTTCTAGAAATCCCAGATGACCCCCAACACCCACATCTACAGCACTCTCATCAATGCAGCCCTCAAGAAGCTGGACTACACCTATCTCATTGACATCCTGAAGGACATGAAGCATAACAGGGTCCCGGTGAATGAAGTGGTCATCCGCCAACTGGAGTTTGCAGCTGAGTACCCACCCACCTTTGACAGGGTATGTGCACCAAGCTCTGAAATGCTCATTGTCTCCTTAATCATTGCTGTTCCTGCTTCTGACCTTTTGGGATTGGCATTTCCTTGCTTAAAATGTCAGCAGCTTCTCTTTAGAGAAATCCTAAAGCCCTTAGGCCATACCTAGTGAGTCCTTGTTTGTGTGGCTCTCTCAAGCCAGTCTTCCCATTATTGATAGTGAGTCCCATTCTCCTCTTTCCTACCTCAGTATATTTGTGACTCCTCTAGGTCCTTCTCCCATAGGTCTGCTTAAATAGCCCTTTTTCAGAGGTGCCCAGCTGCCGTCTTCCCCATCTCCCAACATACAGTTCTGTTCCCTTATTTATAATTTTGGGGCTGGTAATTAAACCCAGGGGTGCCCTACCACTGAGCTACATCCCAAGTCTTATTTATTTATTTATTTGGTGTCAGGAATTGAACTCATGGGTACTTGACTACTAAGCCACATTCCCAGCCCTATTTTGTATTTTATTTAGAGACAGAGTCTCACTGAGTTGTTTAGTGCCTCACTTTTGCTGAGGCTGGCTTTGAACCTTCAATCCTCCTGCTTCTGCCTCCTGAGCCTTTGGGATTACAGGTGTGTGTCACCACCCCCAGCTTTCCAGTTTCTCTTATTTTTGAGACAGAGTCTCACTAAGTTCCTGAGACTGGCCTTGAATTTGTAATCCTCCTGCCTCAGCCTCTAAAGTTGCTGGGATCATGGGTGTGTGTCACTGTATCCAGCACAGCCCTTGGTTTTTATGCCATGGTGTCCGTTCTTTGTGATTTTTGGCTTTCCTAAATCCTAGGCTTCTAGAGGTGGAGATGGTCTGCCTTGTCTACCTGGGTTCCAAGTGCCTGCATATTGCTTGGTGCTTAGTAGACTTCTGTCTAGTGGGTGGACAGCAGCAGGTAGTGATGGGATTTGTTTGATAATGGACATCTCTCTTGCTGCTGCTCTCAGGATATCAGGCTCTGGTGTTTGGATTTATGCAGACCCTGTGGAGACAGAGCATCCAGGGCAGTCGTGGCCTGGAGAGAGACAGTAAATGGGCAAGGGCATGCTGAGCCATGTGACCAGGGGCTCAGGGACACTTTGCCAGTAATGGCACTTGAGTGCTGTTTTGAAAGCTGGGTAGGAATGTTCAAGACAGGGCAGGGTATATACCAGGCAGAGGGTGTACCTAGGCATCTTGACTCTTTCCCATGGATTCCTGAGTTGATATATTCTGATACTAGTTTTTTATTGTTGTTGTTGGTTGGTTGTTTTGTGGTGCTGGGGATCAAACCCCAGGCCTTGTGCATAGGAGGTGAGTGCTCTACCAGCTGAGCTACACCCCAGCCCAGTCCTGGATACTATTCTTTCAGTTGCATGTTGCAAATAATTTCTGGTTAGTGGATCATCTCTGCCACTAGGAATCTTCAACAATCACAAGACACCCTGAGGCCTAAAGTTTCCTATATTCAAATCATAGACTCCGAATTATGGAAATATAAAATTGTTTATATTTGTTTGTGACTGTCAGGTTTTGCTTTTTGTAGTCTCTCTGGCTATATTAGGTGTATTCAAGTTCAGAATTGCTACAATCTTTTTTTTTTTTTTTAAAGAGAGAAAGAGAGCGAATTTTTAATATTTATTTTTAGTTTTCATGGGACACAACATCTTTGTTCGTATGTGGTGCTGAGGATTGAACCCGGGCGGCACGCATGCTTGAGCCACATCCCCAGCCCTGCTACAATCTTTTTAATCAAACCTTATATGTGGTAATGCTCTGTATCTCTGATCATTCTTTTCTTTTGCCTATTTTGTCCTCCATCCCCTACGTTCTTACAGTACCTGGTGTATCTTGTTTCTCCTTTTCTTATCAGCCCTCTGTGGAGATGGCTTCAGTAGTCCCAAGGTGATAAGTTAGAAGGGAGTCGGAGGCTCTGTTCTGGAGAAGGTAGAATTGGTGGGACCCAGCAATTCATTTGGGGGCTCTATGACATCTATGGATTGAGGAACAGTACAGTACACATTCAGGAAGAAAAATGACTGTTGGACAGATAGTGGTCTGGCCTGCCACATATAATTACTTTGAATTAATTTATGTATGTATGTATGTATGTATGTATATATGGTCAGTCCCGGGGATTGAACCCAGGAGCATTTTACTGCTGAGTTACATCCCCAGCCCCTTTTTATTTTTAGACTTTTTCTGGCTAAGTTGCTAAGGGCCTTGCTAAATTATTGAGGCTGGCTTTGAATTTAAGATCCTCTTGCCTCAGTCTCTGAGTTACTGAGATTACAGGTGTCTGCCACCATACCTGGCTGGAATTTCTTCCTTAATGGTGGCAATGCTCATGTTATATTCTTCCCTGTCCCCTGTAGTCTCCTGGAAGCAAAAACAGTAGGGACAGCTTCCCCAAGGACTGAGCCAGCTGCTGGGGTATGAGAATAGCTGTAGACGATATACAGTGATTCTGATCACCAGGACTCCCCTGAATTCCATGCTTTCCCAATTACAGTACAAAGGGAAGAACATGTACTTGGAGAAGATCGATGGCTTCCGAGCTTATTATAAGCAGTGGCTGAAAGTGATGCCAGCAGAGGAAACCCCCCACCCCTGGCAGGAGTTCCGGACCAAGCCCAAAAGAGACACTATCAGGGATGCTGGTGTGGATGAAGTCCTTGGGGGCAGGTAACAGAATGCACAGCTAGAACAAAGTGCCTGGACCTTGGTGCCTGATGGGAGTCCTGGGAGTCCTTTCCATGATAAAGACAAGCAAACATGCTGGTGTCACCTTTCTTGAGTTGGAAATGCAGCATTTTATGGGTACAGATATGAGGACAAACACTGGGCCCAGGGTGCCCAAGAGCACCTGCCACAGCAGGTCCAAGAGCAATCTTTACACATCATCTCAGATCAATTTCACCTGAGAGATTGTCAGCCCATCACTGCTGTGTGACTTGTGGTCACACAGTACGTATGAGATGGAGCCAGGACTAAGCATAGAGGTGTCTGTTCCCTGGGGCCTGGCATTTTCCTACCAGGTTCCAGTTTGTTACTCTCAAAGAATGGACATAAGGCCCAAGAGGTTTCAACGTTTTATTTTTACAAATCACATCTGGTGAACACCAAAGCCTTCACCTGTAGAGGTGCTCCAACTCACGCCTGAGGCACTGCTGAGAAGAGCTGTTCCCAAGAAGCCGTGGCAGGATATGCAGAAGCCTGCAAGGTCCAAAGTCCAGGGTGGAGAGGGGCCAGGCCTATGGCCTCAGCCAGAGCAGCCCCGACAGCCACAGTGTGTACACTCGATGATGCGCCCCTGCAACAGAGCACAGCTAAGCTACTGCACCTGGTCGCACACCCATATACCCCGACCCTCCGTCTAAGAAGTGTATTTCCTGCAGAACACAGTGTATTTCTTGCAGAACACATCTCAGAAACCTTTGCTGGATTAGTTCTGGACAGAGGAACTTCAGTTCCCTCATGAAAATGGGAAATGCTACTCTTCACACTGAAGTTATATTTGTGTGCATTTAATACATAAATTCAACATACACAATTGTCAAAAAGGAAAAAAATCTGTGTGGATGAGTCTCATTACTCTACCAGTGAGCTGAGGCAGGTGCCACTGCTCAGAGGGCTCGTGCCAGGGGTCTCAAGGTTCCTCTCTGCTAGGACACTGGGGCAGAAAGGTATACACTTGAGTTTCTGTGGCTTACAGGAGAGTCTTATCCCAAATGCCCAGTGTCTGGCTGGGGTCTGCCCAGCAGACTAAAGGCCCTAGAGCAGTGGTTTATGTTAATTTTATTTTTCCAGTTCTTTTTTTGAGGAACAAGAGTTTAGTCTAAGCAAACAAAATCCTCTGCTGAAACTCAGCCAAGTTGAAGGTAGCCTCTGCTAGGTTGATGCAGTACCTCTGTCACAACACCCCTGTGGAATCCTGGGGCTCTCAGAAGACAGAGACTTCTGGTGCTCTGCCACCCCTGCCCTCATCATGCTCACAACACAGCCTTCCCTCCAGAGCCAGCCCTTCCCACTGCTGAGTATGCCCATGCATGAGCTTCCCCATGGTGCAGGCAGAGCTAGCCACTGCGTTACAGCCCTTGGCACTGAGCCAAAGCTCTAGGAACTCACTGCAGCATAAAGGATACCATGGAATAAGGCGCCTGTGGGAAGCTAGGAGGAAAAAAGGACAAGCTGGGTCATCTGGCCTGACCTCTAGCTGAGCCAATAACTTGGCCAAGGGGCTACAGGACACGACTACTTAATTGGTAAGTAAGTGCCAATATCTAATGCCTGCCTTTTTCTGCAGCTTCATTTAAGAGGTGCTCAGGTCCTGTTACACACACAACACCATTCCTGGGGTGCCCTGCCTAGCTGTCAAACAGAAAGTTCTGATAAGAAATAAGTGGTGACATTAAAGTGGATTGAAGGGAAAGGGACAGGAACTCCTACTGACCAGCCATCCTTTCCTAATACTGTTTCTCACTACCTCAGAGGTAGGTATTGCACCACCACTTCCTAAATAAGGAAAGGGATTGTTATTTGCCCAAAGGTGGAGTTGAGGCTGGCCCCAGACTTAACAAGATTTCTAAGCCCCATCCCTGAACAGGGAACTCATTCCTGGGAGGGATGGCCAGCAGGATTCTAGTGACAAAACTGCATTCCAGCCAAACCAAATGCTATAAGCCCCCCTGGAGTCAATTAGGGCAGAGTTTTGAAGTGAAAACAATGTCAAATTCGATCATCAGGCATTACCACTTCCAGCTTGCTTTTAGGAACCCGGCAAATGCAGTTAGTTCCAAAATTGGTGTCCCGAGTCTGAATGCACCGCAGACAGCACAAGTTCTCATATCCCTGCTTTTTCCACTTTGCAATCAAGTTTTTGTCTGCATAACCTTCTTTAATACAATATTCATAGAGTTCTGTCAAAAGATTGGGAAAGGATATCAGACCATGGTGTAAAAAACCTGCCTCCACCCTTGATTAAAAAGAAAAATTTGCCCATTTTTAGTGATTTAAAAAAAAAACAAAACAATTCATGGTGCTTGCTGAGGCTACAAGCATGAGAATCATTACTTAATTCTGAAAGTTTAAAGGGTCAAGAGAGAATTTAGCCAATTACCTCTGCTTATGGCTTTCCGCTTATAAAACAGATCAAAGATATAGCGGGTTTTCTGGTGGTGGATCCTGAAGATGGGCCACAGAGATTCCACTTTTCTCTTTCCCTCATGAGGTTCTGTTTCAGCTGGGAAGAAAAAAAGTATGTTTGTTTTGAGGAGCAGAATTAGTCTACACAGGATAATGTTTTGTTTTCCAATAATTACATATAATGAATGAATACTACTTTATACCCCCTAAAATGGCTATAATCAAAATGAAGGACATTAACAAGTATTAGGGACAATGTGGAGAAATCAGACTCCATACCCTGCTGGTGACAATATAAAATAATGTAGCCACTGTGGAAAACAATCTGACAATTTCTCAAGAAGTTAAATATATATGGGCATTGTGGTGCGTATCTGTAATCCTAGCAGCTCAGGAAGTTGAAACAAGAGGAACACAAATTTGAGGCCAGCCAAGCAACTGATGAAGACCCTGCCTCAAAGATTAAATAAAGGGCTGTGGGGGCTGTGGCTTAGTGGCAGAGTGCTTGCCTAGCATGTGTGAGGCACTGGGTTCAAGCCTTAGCACCACATACAAAACTTAGCAAATGAAATAAAGGTATGCTGTCCATCTACAACTACAAAAAAAGGTGGTGTGTGTGTGTGTGCGCATGCTGGGAATGTAGCTTAGTGGTAAAGCACCCCTGGGTTAAATCCCTCAAAAATACAAAAGAAGTCAAACCTAAAGAGTTACCATATGACCCAGCAACTCTTAGATACACACCAAAGATTACTGAAAATATACATGTATGTGCAGACTTATACGAGAATATTTATAGAAGCCAAAAAAAGTACTAACAACCCAAATGTCCATTGACTCAAGAATGGATTAAACACTTGGGTGCGACGGTGCACGCCTGTAATCCCAGCAGCTTGGGAGACTGAGGCAGGAGGATCTCGAGTTCAAACCCAGCCTCAGCAACTTAGTGAGACTCTGTCTCTACATAAAATACAAAAAAGGGCTGGGGAGGCAGCTCAGTGGTTAAGCGCCCCAGGGTTCAATCCCTGGTGTGTGTGTGTGTGTGTGTGAGGGGGGGGGTGGCAATGAATAAACAAAGTGTAGTCTATTCATACAAAGGTAGAACTGAGGGTGGTGATGGCTGCACAGGTCTCTGAACATACATTTTAAAAGGGTCAATTTATAGTATGTGATTTATATTAATAAAGTAATTTAAAAAGAAAAAGTTGGAACATATTTTTGAAAAAATTTAGTCTTTTAAACTAGATAAATTAGAAAATGTAGATTTTAAAAAAAATCATTCATCAATAACCTCTGTTAACACCCTGGTTAGTCTGTCTCTCTGGATCTCTTTCTATAGCATCATAAATTCTCAAAGTAATCCTGGTCCTACAGATGTTCATTCTGATCTAATCATCCTTGAGGTACCTCCAGTTTCATTTCCCAGCCAAAATCCTTTACTGCTTAGGAAGAGCCAAAACAAATGATCAGCCTGAAGGTTTTCAGCACAGAAGGTGTGAAGGAGACATCTCCTCCAAGCACATAAATCAGAGGGAACTCACACCTGCTGCAAGGCAGTTTTCTGTCTTTGCAACTACCAGTCGATCTTTGTCTATTACCTCCTCTCAGTTTTTAGGGCAAAGGAAAGGCAAGAAGCAATCAAGAAAACTATACCTCCATTTTCCAACCAACTTGTAAGCCATTCTATTACTCAGTTTTTATAATTCAGTTCAACAAACAATTCTGTGACTGAAGCAAAAAGATAGGTATGAAAGACTCAGAGAGCCTATGTGCTTGCTATGGGGAGGCCTTGCTCTAGGTGCTCAAGGAATGGCAGTGGGGAAGACAAAGTGCCATACCCTGTACATCTGGATAATCTTGGTTCTCAACAACATTTTGGATTTGAACCATCTAGACCTGAAATCCTCATTTGCTCATCCTGAAGCTAATCCTTTCTCTGGCAGAGTCATGGAGCCATCCTTGACTTTCAATTTGGCAGGTCTGGAAGTGCTAAGCCTGCATTCTCATATGGTGAAAGCAACTCTAAGGCTGTAGCTTTTGCCTTTCTCCAGTCTGCTTTGTCCCCAGAGAAGTGTTTGTTCCCAACACTAAAGCCAGATATATATATATCCCTCTCCCCCACACACACACTTGGATTTTTGTTACAGTGGAAATAAGAATAATATGAACTAGGTCTGAAGCTTATGTGTTTATCAACAATGAGAGGGCCAAGAAATGCTGAAAAACTGTAACAAATAGAAATGAGAGAGCCAGCTAGGTGGTGCATGCCTGTAATCCCAGCAGCTATGGAGGCTGAAGCAGGATGATCACAAGTTCAAAGCCAGCCTCCCCAGCAACTTAGTGAGACCCTGTCTTAAAAATAAAAAGCTGGGAATATGACTCAGCAGTTAAGCACCCTTGAGTTTAAATAAATAAATTCCATAAGAAGGACTACTTTGTTTTGGAGATTTGAAAAAAAAAAAAAAAAAGTAGGGGCTGAGGCTGTGGCTCAGTGTTAGAGCACTCACTTAGCACATATGAAGCACTATGTTCAATCCTCAGCACCACAAAATAAATAAAAAGGTATTGTGTCCAAATACAACGAAAAAAAGAAAAAAATTTTAAAAAAAATTGCACGTCTAAATACAAGGTAAAC